TGAATAACTTGGATGTTACATTGACTGAAAATACGGATGGAAAAGTATGACACTTCATTGCTTTAATCCTGTATTTGTCATTATTGTTTGTTTATTGTTTATTTCCTCCTAATTTACACATCAGCTTGATGTCTCACAAGTATGTCTGTTTAAGTGTTCTGTCTTATGAGGGTGGGAAAGGGATGGAGGGTGGTTAGAAAAGAATGTTTACATTTATACTGAAATGACTGTAAATTATCGATGTGAAAATAATAAAAAATATATTGATAAAAAAAAAAATAGGTGGATGCAAACGTAGCTAATGTCATCTACAGCTGCACGAGATAGGAGAAAATTGACATAGTGATGTTTAGTTTTTCTGCGATATATATTGTGATATTAATACAATTTTTCCAGATGGCTTAAATAGCTCTATTTAAAAAGAAGCCATTCATTTAGATAGAAGGGTGTGAAACGTGTAAAAATAATAAACAGATTGCAATCAAAAATGATTACAATAGGGCTGAGCGATTAATTGAAAAGTAATCGAAATCGAGATTCAGAACCTATAATCGATCTAATTTTTCCAGGTCAGTTTTTTCCAATTACTTTCTCTACCAAGTGTGGAGTCATGTGACCCCACTCTGTTAAGGCTATACTATATACTTATCATATTATTTTTATGTTATACTTCTGCCAAGGGCATGTGTACAATCTGGTGCAGCCTTCGCATACCCATGTACCTCTCAAAAAAATGTTCTTACACATTACCATGACGCACATCGCAAGCTTTGTGATTGGTGGGTTTGGTAGCGGTGACGACGGTGGCCTGCGCTGAAAGCTGCGTTTTAGGTGTGTTTTAATTTCAGTTGTTCAGCATTGGTGTTCAATAACTAATCACAGACAGTAGATAGTGTGTATACTCGACTTATTTTAAAATCAAGTAATGCACCCTACATTCAAAATCTCTCACTTGTAATATGTGAGCACATTTATTGTACAAAACTTGTCAGTATGAGGGCTAAAAAATAAAATAAGTAAATGAAATAATTGTTTATTACTCTTAATCAAATGTTCAATTAATTGAGATTTTGATTTTAGGCCAAACTGCCCAGCCCTACAATAGAGCAACGAAAAAAGGTCAAATAAACAGAGCTTTATGGTTTTCCACAGACTCGAGCAGTATTCAGGTGCAGAAATTGAATAATGAAATGCAAAAATAACTCTGTTTCACATCAAAAGACAAATGCTAGGAGATACAGGGTTAAAAACACCAAGCATTTGGTGAGGTCCATTGAAAAGGAATGTTGTTTGAGTTGTCCCCTTATATAAAAAAATAAGACAAATAAATGTATTATTATCTTCACATGTTTATGTAATAGTATAAATATAACTAGAAATAATAATAATAATAATGACAATATTCAAGTTCTTAATTTTTATAAAAGCAAATCATATAAGGTAGGGTTATGGTTATGTCTGGTGTTACTATGTATTAAGATATAAGCTTGGAACAGCATTTCACCCATACTTACTAAAATGTTTTTTTTTTTACATTAAAGAAGACTATTTGTTTCGATTTAATATGCATGTACATAAAATCAGTTTTTCCAAGTTAAACCTGATGATGTGACCCAAACAAACACACACACACACACGCATGCACAAATACATACGTACAGCTATCTTTCAAGAGTTCACACACTTCACAGCTGATGATTGAGAATAAAGCTAGAATGGCATGCTGTCCCAGGAGAGAGCCCTGAGCTCATATGATCCTCGAGCCTGGGGCTCCCTCCCATTTGCAGGGCAAAAGAGAGGAGTTGAGCTCAGGTAGATCTTGAGAATTTATATATATATTTTTTATTATTATTAAACTGGCTATGTACCATAGTAAAGCTCAAGTGTCTTCTTTTTAATGATACCTATTTTTTTGTTTGTAGCTCACTGGAATCAAGAACTGTTACTATTTTAAATTAGGTAGGTGTAAATCTCCATAAGTGGGTGCTGGCTAACAGGTAAAATAAACAAAACAGTATATTCTATAAACTGTATAACCCTACCCCTAAACCCAATCCTCACTAGAAACAATCTGCATTTTTTAAATACCTCAATCTGTGTGAAAAATGTCCACACACGGTCATAATATACAAGTGTTGATATATGCACACGAACGCTGATATATATATATATATATATATATATATATATATATATATATATATATATATATATATATATATATATATATATATACATACAGATAGAAGTCAGAATTATTAGCACCACTTTAAATTTTTTTATTTATTCATTTATTTTTTTGGAAATATTTCTCAAATAATGTTTAACAGAGCAAGGACATTTTCATAGTATTTCTGATAATATTTTTTCTTCTGGAGAAAGTCTTATTTGTTTTATTTTGGCTAGAATAAAAGTAGTTTTTAATTTTTAAACACCATTTTAAGGACAAAATTATTAGCCCCTTATATAAGCTGTATTTCTTTCGATAGTCTACATAACAAACCATCATTATACCTTGCCTAATTACCCTAATCTGCCTAGTTAACCTAATTAACATAGTTAAGCCTTTAAATGTCACTTTAAGCTGCATAGAAGTGTCTTGAAAAAGATCTAGTAAAATATTATTTACTTTCATCATGGCAAAGATAAAATAAATCAGTCATTAGAAGTTATTAAAGCTTTTATGTTTAGAAATGTGTTGAAAAAAATATCCTCTCCGTTAAACAAAAATTGGGAAAAAAAATAAACAACTTCAACTGTATTTATTTGTTCAACCCCTGAATGTTATTTCTGCTAGCCTTCCTGCACCCCAGTCGGTGTAAGAAACGTTCATTTCCTAAACCACAGATTTGGAAAAGTGGGTCTCATCTCACCTCACTTGGGCTGATTTACACAGTAGCAGTGTTTTACAAGAATAACAGCATTTGTGTGTATTCATAATTGATCCGATTTATAGTATCATCAGGCACTGCTGCGGAACTGTGTTCACTGACGCATGGAAACGTGTCAAAGCAGAGTCACTCCACTTCCCGTTCCCAGATGGTCCCCCCAGACCCTCACCTCCCTACACACACATTTTTTTTTTTTTTTTTTTGCATTTTGTCTCCCTCCCCCACTTATTTCATCCGCTCTCTTGTGTTCTCCGAGCCCACATGGCTTTGACACATTATTTGTGGTCAACGGGCTGGTTTAGCAATTAGCAGTCATAATCTGATCCCACTGATATAGGCTCAAAGAGAGGCTAATGCACACCAAAATCTTCCAAGGCAAACACACTTTATACCACAAAGGCCAATTGCCTTTCAATTAGCCACGAAAAGAAGGGATCACTAACCCCATTCCTTCCATCTGCCGCCTTCAGACACACTTCAACATGAACGTGGGGAGAAGAAAAAACTAATTTGAGCAACGCTTTTGTCTGTTCTGAATGGCTGGGAGATAAATCAGACACATTAGAGCTTGCACAGACAACATTTGGTGTGGATTACCTGAGCTTGAAAGTTGAAACGTTTCAGTTTATGATGCAAAAAAAAGAAAATGATACATGCAAAGGGAGTCACCGAGGGTTGAAATTAAACAGCGTGTGAACTCTAAGCAGAGTCGCGCAATACCTGTACGAGTGTTTAGATAGAAAGACAAAGGCAAACAGGGTGTGTGATGGATGGAATTGGACAGGCAAGCTGAGATGGAAACAAATAGAGAATCCCTTCATGTTGGCTGTGTGTTCATTACTGATCTGGAGACCAATCTCTCTCCCCCCACACACACTCATACGCAAACAGCATGCCGAACTGAACGTCTGATTTCTGGCGTGGCTGCAACAACCAGTCAACCACCATCTGTCAAATGCCAGACAAGGAAGGAGATTTTTTTTTCTCTCCCCATCTCTCTCATTCTCGCTAGTTTTCTGTTTGATTTTTCAGAATAAATCATCCACCGACGTGACCTGAATAAAGCACCATACTGGTCTCTGTAAATGGCTTGTGAACAGTACAGGTTATTACTCATCCAATATGGGTTTGTCAATTAAATAGGATTTAAAATGTAATATTTAGTTATTATTTATTTACTCTTCACCTGCTTTGTGTACCTTCTTTACATTACGAATAATAGTTATTATTCTCTGTGTATTAAAGCAAGATTTAATCAAAATGAATGGTAACTCTGGCTGTCAGTTTTCATCAGTCGTACTGATTTTTTTTTGTTGACAGTGTAATTAAAAAGTAAATGGCAGAATAATAATGTCTGTGGAGTAATCATTTTCGCAGTGAGCCTGAACAAATGATTACATATGTGCTTTAATAACTGCATTTAAAGTCAATGCAGTCCATTTTTACTGTAAAAATCATACCTAACCAAATAACAGCACCAGCTATTTCTATATAGTCATTAAATATAGCAGTAAGACGAATGAAAGTGGCATTTCTTACGTTATTCAGTTCATACTCCACAGCTCATCCTTAGTAAACATCCTTTACCAACACATAAATGCTGTTATTATGCAGCTGGTTGCCCATATTCAACCAGAAACAAACCGGTCTTGCCAGCTTTAGATGTGCAAGCTGGTCCTAGCTGGACATTAGCCAGTCCAAGATGGTTAGCTGGTTATTATGAGCTGAATCCAAGCTAGAGGACCATCTTGAACCAGCAACATGCCAGCTTCACACATACATACCAGCTTAAGATTGACATATCTCAATATATCCACAATCTCAACCACAGTTACCATGTTAAATCCAGTATGGTTTTAAGTAATCCAAACTGATTAAATCCTCTCATTCATTCACGACCATATCCCGCGTCTGTGAAACCACCACAGAAACTCCTCCACAACTCCACTGGATGCCCAAAGAGGAAAATCTTTTCCATACTCAACTTAAGTCCTCGTGAATAAATTCCAGGGCTATACGACATTTACCTGTCAAACCTGCAGCTCGCAGCGCGCGTTACACACTCCACGGAGCGCGTCATAAAAGAGACATAAACATCCACATATTTACCTTCCATCGCGTAAACGGCTGTAACAGCGGACAAAATCGTTATTAATCCCACAGTCATGGTAAAAGGCATTGGCCGCAGCCGCGGTGTCCCGTTGATTTTGGAAAACCGGACGGCGTGGCGTGCGCGTAAAATCCGTCAGTTGTCAGTCCCGCGGGGTGATTATTCCAGCAAAGCGCGCTGCGTGGAGTCACATCGCAGGCAGTAGTACAGAGTGAGTGAGTGAGAGGATGCTGCCACGGCCGCCGAGCGCACAGAAGAGAGAGCTCGGGAGAAGCAGACCCCCCCGAAACCCCCTTTAAAACCTACCGACCAATCAGAGACCGCAAACCGAAAACCGCCTACCAATCACAGACGGTCTCTCCTTACAGCATGCATTGTTATTCAAAACAAAAACTTTTCAGTGCTCCTCTGTGAGGGTGAAATTCGTGCTTGGTTGGAAGGGAAATAGCGACCTCAGATGGACAAAAACTGAACTGGACTCGGTGGAAAAGCTTTTCTCAGGTGCTTTTTATCAAATGTTTGTTGATCTTCGGTCCCACTCAAATGGCAGGGGATGTATTAGATGCTTCTGAATCCATATTTGAGTATTATATAACACAGGTCGCTGCAACATATTTTTAGCTAAGCTAAAAAGCAACACAAAGCCAAAATGTGAAAGGGAAAAAAGTAGACTTAAAACATTATTTCATTCATTCATTCATTTTCCTTCGGCTTAGTCCTTTATTTATTAAAGAAAAAAGGTAGACTATAATTTAAAACATTCATGTATTTATTCATTTTTCTTCGGCTTGGTCCCTTATTTATCAGAGGTCGATAATAATTAGACTAATTTAAAACATTCATTCATTTATTCATTCATACATCCATTTAGTTGTTTATTCAGCTTAGTCTCTTATTTGTCAGTGGTAGAAAAATGTAGACTATAATTTAAAACATTAATTCATCTATTCATTTCTTCATTCAATCAGTCATTCAGCTTAGTCTCTTATTTATTAGAGGTCGAAAAAAGGTAGACTATAATTTAACACATAAATTAGTTCATTCATTCATTCATTTTCATTCATTTTACTTCAACTTAGTCCCTTATTCATCAGATGTCGAAAAAAGGTAGACTATAATTTAAAAAAATATTCATTCATTTTCCCACAGCTTAGTCCTGTTTATCAAAGGTCGAAAAAAAATGAAGACTTTAATTTAAAACATTCATTCATTCGTTCGTTCGTTCGTTCATTCATTCATTCATTCATTCATTCATTCATTCATTCGTTCGTTTGTTCATTCATTTTCCTTCAGCTTAGTCCCTTTTTTATCAATGGTTGAAAAAAGGTAGATTATAATTTAAAAGATTCATTCATTTATTTTCCTTTGCCTAAGTCCCTTATGTATTAGAGGTCGAAAAATGGTAGACCATAATTTCAAACATTAATTCATTCCATCATTCATGCATTCATTCATTCATTCATTCATTCATTTTTCTTTGGTTTAGTTCCTTATTTATCAAAGGTCTAAAAAAGTAGACTAAAATTTAAAACATTAATTCATTCATTTTCCTTCAGCTTAGTCCCTCATTTATCAGAGGTCAAAAATGGTAGACCATAATGTAAAACATTCATTCATTCATTCATTCATTCATTCATTCATTCATTCATTCATTCATTCATTCGTTTTTCTTTGGTTTAGTCCCTTATTTATCAAAGGTCTAAAGAAGGTTGACCATAATTTAAAACATTCATTCATTTATTTTTCTCTGGCTTAGACCCTTTTTATCAAAGGTTGAAGAAAGGTAGACTATACTTTGAAACATCCATTCATTTATTCATTCAGTTATTCATAAATTTTTCTTCCGCTTAGTCCCTTATTTATCATGGGTCACCACAATGGAACGAACCGCCAACTATTCTGACATATGTTTTACGCTGCAGATGCCCTTCCAGCTGCAACCCAGTAAATTTAAAACTTGTTTATACCAACAAATGTATACCTCAAAACTACAAAAACTCTTGACTCTTTAGAATTAGGTAGGTGACATTAATATAAATTCTGAATCTGTGGTTTAGGACATTAACAAATAAATTAATAAAAGTACACAATACTTGAACTACTTTATAATTTATAATAAATTATATTTGTACGTTATTATTAATATTAAATTATGACCTTTTTTCCACAGTGAAATGAACACTGTGATGAACCCTGATGAACCAGGGACAAAGCTGAAAAAAAAATTAGTAAATAAATGAATAAATGTCTGTAAAAGCCAGATATGGTTGTGCGTGAAAATGCCAGTAGATCAGCAGTTTCTGAAAAACCCTGACCAGCCCATCTGGCACCAACAACCATGCATGTTTTGAGTCACTTAAATCACCTTTATTCTCCATTCTAATGCTCGACTTGAACAGCAACAGACGCTCTTGACCACGTCTACATGCCTAAATGCATTGAGTTGCTGCCATGTGATTGGCTGGTTAGAAATTTGCGTTAACAAGCAGTTGGACAGATGTACCTAATAAAGTGGCCGGTGAGTGTGTAATCGTCTGTATAGGTATCCTTCATTTCTACAGTTAGAGGAATAAAGCAGGTCTCTGGCTGGCATATTCTACAGTATTTCAGGTCTAAAGAGGTGACAGCTATTTGTCTGCAGTCAGATTTTGGCCCTGGTTTTCGTCTCTGCTCTTATAATGACTGATTGTTTTAGAATAAGCGTTTGACGTGAAACTTTATAAAAATGACATGGACCGGATTCCTCTTGCAACAGGTCTGTCAGGAAGCATTAATCAAACAGCGTCTCGTCTCTCTAATCATCTGGGCAGGTTGTAGTTGTAAATGATTTGAAAGCAACGGAAGTAGTGGACTTGACATAAAACGCAATACCTTTCATCATCCTGCAAAGACTCCAGCCCAAAGGTAGACAGCAATTACCACTGAAGTAATGCACAAAGTGAAAGTGGCCGGACGATTGAGAGAGAGAGAGAGAGAGAGAGAGAGAGAAAGAGAAAGAGAGAGACACCACACGGTTGATGCACCTAATGGGACAAGCTACAGGTGAACATTTCCTCCCATACTCTTTAAGCCCCAATAAGCGTAAAGAATACTTTGAAGCAAAAATATGTCAAATAATAATAATATTATTAACAATAATGATCATAAATTGGCCATGCAGTGGCGCTGTAGGTGTCGCCTCACAGCATGAAGGTCACTGGTTCGAGCCTCGGCTGGACCAGTTGGCGTTTCTGTGTGGAGTCTGCATGTTCTCCCTGTGTTGGCATGGGTTTCCTCCGGATGCTCCGTTTACACCAACAGTGCAAAGACATGCATCATATGTGAATTGAATAAGCTGAATTGGCCGTAGTGAATGTGAGAGTGTATGGGTGTTTCCTAGTGCTGGGTTGCAGCTGGAAGGATATCCCCTTTGTAAACCATATGCTGGATAAGTTGGCGATTCATTTCACTGTGGTGACCCCTGATTAATAAAGGCACTAAAACGAAAAGAAAATGAATGAATGAATGTCAATGGAGGCGGCAAAGTGGCTCAGTAGTTAGCACTGATGCCTCACACCAAGAAAGTTGCTGGTTCGAGCCTCAGCTAGGCCAGTTGGCATTTCTGTGTGGAGTTTGCATGTTCTCCCTGTGTTGGTGTGGGTTTCCTCTGGGTGCTCCGGTTTCCCCCACAGTACAAGGACATGCGTTATGTAAAGTTTCACAAACTCATTTTGAGAGGAGCACGTGATATAATTAACTGCAGCTGGTCTGTCATCTACAATCATTAGTTAGCCAATCAGATTAATTCAAACTCCAGATAAGTAGCCTAGAAAAAAATTACTCCCTTATCTTCGTTTCCCGAAGAAACCCCCCATCCACCCCTTCTCCCCCTTTCTTCCTTTACCACGGGGAGCCCAAGAACTACCTGATCTCGTACTCCCCTTACATGCTCAATCGACCAGGCTTAAACCCTGGACTCAATTATCTCTGAGCTCAGGGTTCTCTCCAGGGACAGCATGCCAAACCTGCTATTAATATCAAGCAATATCTAAGTTTGAACTCTTGAAAGGTGAATTGAATAAACAAAATTGGCCGTAGTGTATGTGTGTGAATGTGAGTGTACGGATGTTTCCCAGTACTAGGTTGCGGCCGAAAGGGCATCTACTGCATAAAACATATGCTGAATGAGTTGGCGGTTCATTCTGCTGTGGCAACCCATGATTAATAAAGGGACTAAGCTGAAGGAAAATGATTGAATGTATGAATGACTGTCAATGGATACACGGATACAACATGCTTCAAAATATCTGCTTTTGTATTCAGCAGGACAAAAAAAAAAAACTCAAAGGTTTGGAAACAGTTGAGGGTGAAAAACCAAAGCTAAAGCCAACTCCATTGTCATGTTATGCTGTCTAACAGGTCACCGTCTACTTTAAGTTGATTGTTCTAACAGAGCGTGCATGGTTTCTGTATGCTTAATTAAGACTGTGGAAAGTATCTGTGTGGATCTGCTCTCTCTTCATTAGCACAGAGAGCTTAATAAGCAGAGGATGGAAATGAGTCTGAGCAGGCTGTGTGCTGCGGGCTACTGCTGAGGAACCGCTGTTCTCCACATCCACATTTACGAGACCATGAGCCAGATGAGAACTAAACCAACCTGTCAGGTATACACACACACACACACACACACACACACACACACACACACACACACACTCACACATATACAAACAAGCACGTGTACACACATACAGTACAAAAACACTTACTCACATGTTCTCACACACACGGACAAATATTTACTTACTTTCACACACAAACAAACAGACACACACACAACTCACTCACACACACGCTCTTACACACGAACACTCGCTCATAGACACACACACTCACTCACTCTTACACACACACACACACACACACGTGCACACTCATGCATTCGCACACAGACACAAACAAACACACACACTCACACACAATCACTTATTCACTCACACACACACACACACACACACACACACGTAAACACACATGCACGCAAACACATGCACATGTTTAAAATAAGTGCACACAAACACAGACACTCACTCAACACACTCAAACACACAAACAGGCAAACATACACAAACGCAGCATACATACACACAAACATCACTCACTATCTCTCACACACATGCTCACACACACAAATGCAGACACACACAACTCACTCACAGCACACACACGCTCTAACACACCTACTAAAACACTCACACACATC